ATGAGCAGGTTACAATATAAAAAATGTTTGTCAGAATCACGTCTTGTGATTATTTGACAGGAGTTTTATTTGTAAACTGTAAGTGTATTTAATTTAGTTTTAGTGTAAATACAATAAAAATTAAACCAAGATTTAGAAGAATTATCATTTTGATCCGTACATTGGTAATGTCTGATTGGGCCTTGTGCCTCTTTATGTTCAACAAATTGAGCCCCGAGGTCAAAAAGGTTAAGAACCCCTGATTTAAACCACAACTGTAGTCTGGTAACAGTGATGTCAGATACATTTTATAAAAAATGAAAAAGGAGACAAAAACTTCAATCTCTCCACACAGAAAATTCACCTTGACTCCGCTGAGCTGTCCATCTCCATCATAATCATAGCGGTACTGAGTGGTGTTGGCATACGGCCCAATCTTCAGCTCCCTCTTCACCACCCGTCCCATGCTGTCGTACTGCACTGTCATCCAGTACATGAGCGAACGGAAAATCTCATACTGGACCTCCTTGATGCGGCCATGGGTGTCGAAATGCTTACTCAGTGTCATTACAGCTGTGGTGATGATTTGATTGATGTCATAATAGATGACCCCAAATTTTCCAAAGTGCTCCACCTGATGGGAAAAGTTGAGAGGAAAGGTCGAGACCTCAGAAGGACATAAACGGTGCATTTACTGGCAGACAATTTTCTTTCAAGGGGGATTTCATTTCTACATTATTGGTTTCGAAAAATGGGGAGTGTGTGGRAAAAAAAAGTGAGCACCTTTCCAGAGATCTCATCATATCGATAGAGGTCGACAGGCAACGGCGTCTCACTGATGACCGGCTTCATGCTGGCGATGCGGAAGCTGTTGTCGTGGTAGGTGTAATCAAACCTGGCGTTGACCATCCCCTCTTCGCTGAAGCGGTAGATCTGCTTGTCGATGAGCGGCCCCATTTTCCGATAGCGGATGGTGCAGGAGAAGCCCCCGCTCTGCAGGGTTACCATCTTCAGCACGCCGGCTGTCTCGTCATATCCGAAAGTCACGACCGTGCTGTCGTAGAYGATCTCTGACAGTTTCGTCAGCTTGCCGTATTTGTAAAGGACCCGGCGGCCCGTGCCCAGGTAGTGCGAGGCCTGAGGTCTGCCATCCTCGCTGAAGTCGTGGATGACGGAGGCGTTGCTCTCAGGAGGGTTGTACGTATTGCGAATGTAGCCGACGGACACGTGTGTGAACATTGTGTGGCGAGCGACGCTGGGCATGGTGACGGCTGTGACCCGACCTGAGGCATCAAACTCAAAGACGTACTGCCTCTGGCTCTGCAGGAGCAGCACCATAGACTGGAAGATGAGGGAAAAGTAAAATACGGATTAATATAAAAGCATTATCAATGGATGACTTGCCTCCTGTGAAATAGCTCCAGGGGTAATTTGCTCTCCCCTAACAAATCTGCACCCTCAAAACCATAAAAATGATGTATTACTTCACTCAATTCCACAGTTCTAATTTCTACTGCTACTGCCTTCCTTGGAAAGATTTGACTTTGTTGAAGAAATATGCGCTTACCTTATCAAGGTAGCTGTAGCTCCACACCTTCCCGTCCACGAAGGAACGGGACAGAATGCGACCCTGGGAGTCAAACTCCGTCTTCTCGCTCATGCTCCCTCGCTGCAGCCCGACCAGCTGTCCGGTGGCTGAGTACGAGACGTTGACCACTGCCAGGCTGCTGCTGGGCAGCCACATAGCCGGTCGGCCCTGGGTGTCGTACATGATGCGCAGCAAGAACTTGCGGTGATCGTCGTAAATCTTCTCCGTTCGGGTGTTGCGATCAAAATCGATGGAGAGAAGGTTGCGGCCGTGAGCCTGAAGAGCAGAAAACATGTCTCAGTTGGTGATGTGTGGATTGATACTGAAATATCCACACCACTGATACTAGAACTTTACACTCTAATATCAAAATATCAATAATTTGATACTTCAGTCATTTTAACAGGAACACAGTGGAAAATAACTAAACCATTGAAATCTTGTCTAAATCATACGCAGTGTATGGGAACTACTTTTTCTTCTGGATGTTACATGTTCAGTTTTTTCATGTAACATAAAATAAGATGCAAATTTTCATTTTTATTTTTAATTATTTATTTATTGATAATTTAAAAAATAATTTACCTTAATAGTTTTATTATTTTACTTTGTATAAGTGTGTCCTCTGTTTTTCCTGTTTTATTAGCTCACTACATTATATATGAAGATGCATCATCAACATGCTTATGAGTTTATGAATTACTCTTATGTCTTGTATTCTTTATTACACTGTGCTTTAAATACACTACTTTTTAAAGCTTTTTTACTACATAGATTAGGTGTTTTTGCACAAAGTATTAGTATGTGATCAGCATTGCGGATACCAGCCTGAGTTTTATTGGGAATCGGAATCGAAAAGGTCGAAGGTGTCAAACACAGTTAGTCTCAGTATTTGGTTGATGTTGAAATGCATCCCAAGCTACTTATATCTGAGCCAATCCATCAGCAAAAKAATTACCCTCAGCTTCCTGCCAAACACAGTGATCTTGCCCTTGGTTTGCTCTTTGCGCAGACGCCACTCGATGGAGTTGAGGCCGTTGTCCGTGGGCAGAGTGATGTTCCTCCGACCGATTGTGGGACTGACAGAGCCTGCCAGGATGTGCGGCTCCGTGTGGAAGCTGATGCCCATTCCGTTGGCGTACATGACTCTCAGAGTGCCGTTGTTGCACAGTTGATAGCTGTTTCTCACCTGATCTGCAGGGGGAGGAGAGATGAGGAAACAGATTGTAAGAGTAAAGACAATTTGGGCTTAAACTACAGCAAACTCAACCAGAATACGTCAGTTATATTAGAATATCTKTTTGATATGACGGCTAAGGAGGCTCGATCAATATCCTGTCAAACTGTTAGGACGTCTGAACATTTTCATTAATTTTTTTTTTACCTAAAGACTCAGAGCTCTAGCTTTAAAACAGCACTCAGCAAGTACGGTGAAAACTAACTGTTTAACCTTTATTCTAGCTTTCAATACACAAAAAACATGAACTAAAYCAAACCAGCCATTCAGAAATGGTCAGATAAAACAGCCACTTTATATCTATCAGACCAAAACAGAAGATTAAAGTTAAAAAGGCTCATGCCAATAAGCACAAGATCAGGTCCATAAAATAGATGTGGTTTCCGATTACTTCCTTTCAAAGTGAAAATTATTCAGAATGAAGCTATTCAAGGCTAAACAGATGCCGTCCCTCCAACACACACACACAATCTCTTTATCTTTACAATTTAATGTCTTTTTCCTCCAGAATGGAGACAGATAAGCCCATGCCTAATTCTGAGGCTAATTTCCCCCTCTGATGTCTGAAAACAGGCGTCTTGATGACAGTGAAGGAGATAAAATTGTTTGGAGCTCAGGGATATCCAGAAGATGCGGAAGGTGGGGTGTGGGGGATGAGGGGGGCTTTACTTTATTTAATTCACAAAAGGTGAGGGGATCAGATGGGTTTTTTAAATCCGCCTGATGTGCCGCCATAAACGACAGTAATCCATAAGGCCAATTTGTAATAAAGCTCCAGGCGCACTTTAACAATGCTTCAAACAGACAAGTCGGGCCTTTTTTTTAAATTCTCCTTCCGTTGACTTGGCAGCACCAGCCTTTAGATAAATCTTCTCTGCTCACTCTGTCTGAACAACCTCGTAATAAAACTGAGGCGAGGTTGAGGGAAAGACGGAAGGAGAGGGTGAAACGAGAGCCCGAGGGCCGCGGAGAATTCACTGYGCGGGAGTTAATGAAGAGAGCGAGGAGCGGCGGAAAAGAGAGAGGGATGGTTAAGTGAGTATGTCAGCGGAGAGCTGAGCTGAAACCCACACAGTGTCGAGGAAACCCTAAATGACTTACAGCTCGGCGAACAACTCGTCTGCTACTGCGACGCAGGTAGATCACTGACTACGTCTCCAGTCCACGGGCTTGTGGACGGCTTCTAGTCGTGCCTGTGTCACGCTGCTTGCACCGGTCAGGGGAAAGAGTCAATTATTCTTCTTTCTCCTCCTTTCTAAACACTCCAAATAAGCTTAGGGATCGTGGGGACTGGATGAGAACTGTTTTTGTTCGTCAGTCTGTGTGTGTGTGTGTGTGTGTGTGTGTGTGTGTGTGTGTGTGTGTGTGTG